TCAGGTGTGTGTGTGGAAGATCCTGCCTTATCTAAAGAACAGAATTCTGGGAATTCACTATCAAAGCCTGATCTTTGCAATGTGGGTATGTGGAAATATGTCATGCTTGGAACTGAGAAAATTTCTCAGGACTTCCAAAAAACAGTTGCTCACCAGGCTAGGAGAGGTTCCAAAGAATTTGGAATCCACCAGTCTATTGTTGGGCAGATCATGTACAAAAGGAGGCAATTTAACACCACTGTTAGTCTCCCAGGAGTGATCAACCAACCATAATCAAAGAAAGAGCAAGGCATGTGATACTCCAGCAGGAGAAGCCCAGGGTAACATCTGACCAAACATCTTGCACTGGAGAATGTCAATGTTCTTGAGGCCATCGTGGTGGTGAGCCTGACAGGGTTGCATGTAGAAAGCCGCTATACTCCAAAAGTACTCAGCTGCTGTCTACAGGTTGTGAAGGATCACACGGATGAACTGGAAGGGTACTATATTGGAAGAATACTCTGTGGATGGACGTGACCAAATTAGAACTTTTTGACTTGAATGATAAGCATGATGTGTTTTCCAGAGACAAACAATGCATTCCAGGAGAAGAACCTTATCTCAACTGGGAAACATGTTGATGGCAGTATCATGATTTGGGCCTGGTTTTCTGCCTCTGGACCAGATCAGCTTGCTCTCATTGATGGAATTATGAATGATGAATTTTGCCAGCAAATTCCTGATGCTTGTGAAAAGAAGTTGGATTATACTATATGTTTCCTGTTCAGGTGAGAAGACAGAGAAGCTATACTGTTGACGTCTAGATTTATCACTTCTGCAAGCTTTCCAAGAGATGATCCTCATTTAGTACTGGTCAAATGGAAACTCCTGAAGGACTTCTCCTTTCGCCTCTGCCCCTTCCTCAACCCCAGTGTTATCCTTTATTCCTAGCTGGTATTCACTCCAACATCAACTTTGGGTTTGCATGATCCCCCAAGATGGCTGCTGACTGCCACACAAGTTTGAACTGGCATACAAGCAATATATTTCATATTTTGGAGGGAAATTATTAGCCTAAAAGGAAAAATCCCCAGCTATAGAAAAGCTTTCATTAGCATGAAATAGAACTCCATTGTATCATGCTGATACGGGTCAGAACTTCAGACATTGCTGATGCCACTGTGTCACCTGAAAGTTTTCCTTCTTAAACTAATCCTAAATTTTATTGCTGTGAAGATGCTACTCTTGAAAAGTGTATTGGTGGATTTTTTTTGTAGGAATCTGATAATTCATTGGTTGATATGAAACCGCACTAAGTTTCTAGACAATGATAAAGATTGCTATTGTTTGAAGGCAGTGATAGCCTGTGATAGAGCAAGTGCACCACCATTCTGTTGTACATCCTTTGTAATTTAAATACTAAAAGTGATAGTTTTAGCAAGCAAAAGCCTTGCAAGAGCACTCTTTGAAGCAGTGGTGGCTAACTCACATAGATTAGTTATTTTACTTCCCCTGCCCTGCTGAGACAGGTAGTCCTTAACTTACGACCGCAATCAGGACCAGAATTTCCATTGCTAAACAATTCGGTTGTTAAGTGAGTCGTGCCTGATTTTATGACCTTTTTTTGCCATGAGTGTTAAGCTAATCAAAGCAGTGGATGAGTGAAACATGCGGTTGCTAAGCCAATTCAAATTCCCCCATTGTCTTTGCTTGTTGGAAGCTGGCTGGGAAGGTCGCAAATGGTGATCACACAATTCCGGGACGCTGCAACCGTCGTATTGAACACGATAGGCCTACTTAAAATTATGCCTTTAACATTTTGTAGTTTCCGCCGTGGGTATATTAGAGCAAGAGATAATTATTGCTTGAGTTTGGATTCTAGCTTTTTTTTTTTTTAATAGTACTCTGGAATTCAAGTAAAATAACAGTTTGAACTCTAAAATGGAGACGACTGATGTAGAATATCACTCGAATGTAAAATAATCCTACTACATATTGCTAGCTATGTACAACTGATGCTTTATTTCAAAAAGATTTATCATACAAAACATTCAATTGAAAGAGACAATTACCACTTTGTATAAAACACTTTTATTGAGATTATATAATGAAAGCAGTATTTCATCTTTGGGGCTGGGGAACATTTATGATTTTACATCTTTCTACACATTCATCCATACGACAAAGAACTAAGAGAATTCACCCGGTGAAAATACTCTAGCTAATCATAGTCTTCATCAAAAGTACACAAATACTGTTCAGTGTTTCCTTTTGAGAAAGTGTGTTTTGAGAATTTCCTGTCCCGGCCTGTATTAAAATTCCCATGTCTTAACTAGACTGACAGCTACAAATGTGATATTGTGATTGCCAATATACTTGCATAAGAGTTGAGAATTTATTTTAAAGAGTACCATCATTTCATCCTCAGAAGTACATTGAAATGTGTACTGGTTGAACAATCCATAAAATTTTGGATATTCTAGGATGGCAAAGCAATCAATCAGCATTAAAAAAAACTGTGCAGAGAACAAAGTGATTTTATATGTGCAAAACAAATGTAATGTTTGACTACCTAAGGCAGTGGTGGCGAACCTATGGCATGCATGCCAGAGGCGGCACTCAGAGCCCTTTCTGTTGGCATGCACACCACCACTGCCAGCAGCAGGTCCATCAGGCCGCCACCCAGAGCAGGAGCCCCGCCCAGCACAAAGGAGGCAAAACGGCCGATTAGCAAGCTCGAGTAGAGGTGGTAGAGCAGAGGTCACCAACCATTGTCGATTGGTGGACTGGAAGAAAAGGGAGGGGGAAGCATTTTACATGCGTGCATGGGGCCGCGAGCAAGCACCTGCTGCAAATGGGGCAGGGCTAGTGTCTGCGTGATACTCACTAGCCCTGGCCCGTTCTTACATGGTGCAGCGTCTTGTATCTGCATCCCGCGATGCGGCGGCGGCCGTTTTTGTGGCTTGCAGCACGGTAGCCCATTTTTGCAACCCTGGTTTTTGCGGGTCAGAGGTGGCACTCAGAGGCGCCTCCCCCCCCGAGGGCACCACAATGCTGATGAGGCCCTGGCACTTTGCAATAAATAAGTGGGTTTGGGGTTGTAGTTTGGGCACTCGGTCTCTAAAAGGTTCGCCATCACTGACCTAAGGCAAAAACATAATAAACCCGAGAAACGTTCACACTTGCACAATGCACCTGAGTAAATGTTGTAACCATCCCAATGCTGGGATCTGCTCCTGTGGGACAGATCCAATGATTGGTGCTAAGTAAAATTCTCTCCCTGTTGGATCATTCTGCTCATTGGATATGGAATCATTACTCCACAGCTCTTCCAAGTTGTTATGCCCAAGAGTTCTTATGTATATTTTCCGGAGCAAGGATAATTATGGTGATGTCTGACCTGCCTTTCCTGACTTTCAAGTTGCCAAAGACCCATTAGAGAATGCATCACAGCTTCCTTTTCGCCGGAATTTAAGTGAAATATTTATAACAAGGCAATCTGTTGCACAGGCTGTATTTTTAGACCCGATTGTTTTGGGCACCAAGTTATTTATTCGATTTAGAATGGTTCTTAGGAATTAGTTTTCCAAGGATGCATGCATTCTTCAGAAGAATATCCAGAATTCATCAAGATGCTGATAATTTGTCCGTGGCTATGGATCTTTCCACAAGAACACAGAGCACTTTGCCATGTTTAAGGAGTATTTCCATTTCTTGCCAGCTTCAAGATTTCCCCAAGGGGTCTTAAACTGAGTATTGTACCAGAACCAGGGGGGCAGAATTTTAATATTGAAAGCTGCAATTGGACTGCTCCCTGCCAGTGATTCATGGAACCAATATGTCCCTCTCACTTTCTTTCATTTATCCAGTAGCTGCTGGAAGAAAAACCTCCTTGCCAAAATTATAAATTGACAGTTGGTAGAAAGATTATTAATTTATGCTAAAAATTCACATGCGCTATTTGGGTTGGCCAATTTAGCACTGGACTATGATTATATAGAAATTTTCAGTGATTAAAAAAAAGACTGCAGAAAGGGGTTCAAAGATCCAAAGTAAGAACAGTGACTTTGGTAAAATGAGAACATTTCTTGTCTGCCAGCATTTCTCGATCCAGAGAATTTCAGAGCAAGCCGTTTACCCTACTAAATATTTAGTTATTTTGCTTTATACATGTAGCATACAGGCATTCTCTCTTCAGGATGGGCAGAACATCTGTATGATCTCTCAGAGATCAGAAATGTGGAACTATAGATATTTAACTTTTAATTTCTGTAAGTACATAAGAATGGGCAATGATGATGGTGATGTGCCGTCAAGGTAGTGTTGACTGTTAGCGACCACCTAAGATTTTTCTCCAGGATACTTGATAACATTCAATACTTGTTCAATAAAGTCTATTATTAAGCCCTAAGACCTATGTTCAAAACTAAGGAATGAGCTGTGATTCTAATATTTTTATTAGAATATTCCATCCATGTATCAAAGACTGGACTGAGGGGATGTCACAGGGCAAATTAGGCACTTTGGAGCTTCCTCTTCCTTTACTTCACTTGGAAACTTTTGTACCCAAATCTAGAGATCTGGTAAGATTTGGGACGTGAGAGATCAAGCCTACTCAGAACATACCTGTTTATATAAAACGCCATTCAAAAATGGATAAGCAGATTCTACCGTTCAACCTGAATTTCATTGTATAAACTGCTAGGAAGATTCCACTCAAAGCTGAAGCATGTTATGTTGTGTATCAGTGTTGTAAAACGTGGCTAATATGTCTACAACTGTTTTAAAGAGAAAGAAAAATCTTGTACTTTGGGAAAACAAATTGTAGACACACACACTTTGTACTAAGAAAAAAATATATGTTGCTATGTAGCTTTAACTGTTGTTATGTTTGTACGCCATCTAGAGTTATATTTTTGAGACGGGTGAATGTGCTAAATAAATGAACGCGGCGTGTCCTATCTGATTAATACTGGTAGTTGTTAAGTTGGGAACTGAAGGTATGTCGTGTTTCCTATAATTTATTGCTTACCTGGTCCCTCAAAAGGCAAAAGTTTGGATGGAATGGGATCCTTAGCCCTGAGGGGGATCAAATACAGGTCCTTGACATGCCTGTTGTTATTAGCTACAACTCCAAAGCGGCACCGGCTGCTAAAGTAGGAGTAGAGAGAGATGTAGGCAGCTTCCTCCTCTTCTGTTGCTGGATGGAAACGGATTAAACACAATTCCTGGGATATAAAAATATAAAGGAAAAATACTGACTCTTGAAAAAAAAAGAGCAAGTAAAAGCAACCTATAGCAAGGGACCACGTAGATTAGAAAGAATTCATCCAGAATATTAGTGGCAAAACTTAATAATAATAATAATAATAATAATAATAATAATAATAATAATAATAATAATAATAATAATAATAATAATAATAAAGTTGGAAGGTACCTTGGAGGTCATCTAGTCCAACCCCCTGCTCAGGCAGGAAACCCTATACCATTTCGGTGTAAATTTTTAAAAAAGTTTTCTACAAAAAAAAAAGTCCCCACCGATTTGTTAAACTCAAGGTAGTAAAAAATTATTAGTAATTCAATTTTTACTTCATTCTGATATGAAATGTTTTTTTTAAGTTAATATTCGGTGGTATATTTAAATAAAAGCCCAGCAAAAATTCTTATTCGGATAGCTAATTTTAAATAGAAGATAAAAGCACTAATAATCTGTTGATTATCTTTTAAAAATACCCACAATACATATAATACTTATTTGCAAGGCTCACCAATAAAGCTTACTTTAGAAAATATGACTGACAGCTGCATGGCACAATTCTTTTAGAAGTTCCTGCTATTCAAAATATTTAGAGTGGAACAGATTAGCAATTGCTTGTGCCAGAAATTCAGACTGAACTTAACTCCAGCCTTGGGCAACAGAATCCCTATGAAGATGTATTTGGCCCCAATTGTTATTATGTCATCAGCCTCGTCATCATTTCAAATGAATTACAGTACTGCCAAACTTGATTACCTTTGATACAGAGGATTTAAGTTTGCCAATATAATCCCACACTGTTTTGGGTGAGATCCTCCCTCCAATATGAATTGTGTCTGGTAAATCCTAAAGAGAAAACATGAAAAGAAGCCATAATTGGAGGGAATGTTTTTTTGTCCATATTGTAACAGCAAGTCTATAAAGGAAGTCATATTGTGGGGCCTCTCTGAGCTTGATTGTTTTCTTGCAGAGGTGTTATTATCACTGATAACATTACCTAGTTGGGTAATGAAACGTCTGCAAGAAAGAACCAAGTTCAAAGAGTACCAAGGACACCACATTTCAACCTGAGCTACAAATATTATGAGAGTCGTATTCTTATTTTTATAATCAGGGCTATTATTCTCTCCAAAGAACTTAAGGACTTCAAGATGTTGCTAATATGCAACATCCAACACTCTCAACAAGAATAACGAGAGGTGACAGCTGTTAGGTAACATCCAGAAGGCCAAGCGCTCCGACCTAGGACATTAACAGAAAAAAAAAACTCTGACACTGCTTTCTTTTCATAAGAGTCAAAATGCATAATCTAGCTTTGTCTACATAAATAGGCAGTTTTTATGTCTACAATTATTACCTTGGCATGGTATTGGGAAAAAAAAAAATCTGGAATCCTTAAGTTAGGCTATCATATTGCTAGCTTACGCAATACAAAGTGACTAAAGTTACCAAGTTATTAAATTTGCTTTTAATTTTTTGCTAGGTTAAAAATATAGAGCATATCTCAGTGATGGCGAACCTTTTAGAGACTGAGTGCCCAAACTGCAACCCAAAACCCACTTATGCATCGTCAAGTGCCAGGTGGGTGTGGCCCATTGGCTGGGTCTGGCCCATTGAGTGGGCGTGGCTGCGGTGGTAACGGCAGACTAGGTGGGACTAAAAAGTTCAATCAATCAATTCCAACTTTGCAAGATCTTTTTTTTCCCCACGAGAAGTTGAAATTGACTGATTGAACCTTTTTTTTTTTTGCACATGGTGATGGAGGCCTAAAGCGAAAAGGTTTTATAAAACCCAGCCTAGGACTGGGGCGACTGCGCGCGTGCCCACAGAGAGGGCTCTGAGTGCTGCCTCTGGCACTTGTGCCATAGGTTCGCCACCACTGGCATATCTACTGAACAGATGACCAGGGAAAATGCCAGCATGATGTGGTGATGTTAAACTAGGACTGGGAAGACGCTCCCTGTTAATTTTGGGAGTTGACGTTATAGATCACTATGGCTGGCTGGGGAATTCTGGGAGTTGAAGTCCACAAGTCTTGAAGCTGCCAAGGCTGGATACCCCTACTATAGGCAATGCAGCTTCTCAGTAATTCACTATTACCATTACATGCTTCATGCTTAGTTTTATCTTTCAGAACAATCATTTGGAGTTTTTTGTTTGCTTTAGTGAGAAAAATATATTTGGGAGCGTTGGGAGGAATTCTGGCCATAGAATAAAGGTATATATGCATGTGTGTGTGTGCATGTATACTTCCTAAATTTATTTCAATCTTGGAAATCCTTAAGAATCGGAGAAAGGCTGCTACATGTGTTATAAATGATGAATTGCCACCTGCAAGAACCAAATTTAACAGCATTTTCAGCACGACTGTTTCCTCTCTCCCTCTCCACCAACTATGATTCACTTAAAACTCCTATCTTCCACCAGGTGTTCCCTGAGATAAAGTTCAGCATCATTTTTCCTCTGCTCCTTTTACATTTTATGAATGCTTTTAATTATTGCAGTTTTATGTTATTTTCTTATTATGACTTTTTTTAGAAATCCAGTTTGCGAATCGCTATAGCCCATCTGGAACCCAGAAAGCAATATGCAAGTGGGTCAAGTAAGTAAATTCAGGGCTTCAGTCACAATAGGTGCAAAATATGGAGCTTCCCCCAAGAATCAAATATTGGAAACTGAACCTCTCGTTTCTGGATTGGCTGTTGGTGCAAAGTTGTCTTGTTCTAGAAGAAACTTACTTGCATCTAAGTAGAAACATTAAAACTCCTTTGTAAATATGTAACTATACTTTTCCTTCAGTATTAAGTTTACCATCCAGGCCTGAATAACAGTCTGTTATTCCTACCTAGACTGAAATCATTTAAATAATTTTAAAACAATTGATTTCTTCAGCTCTCAGACTAATCTATACATAACGTAGTATAATAAAGGTGCTACATACGGTATTTTTATTTCTTAAAAGGGAATTAGAAGCAGTCCTCAATTTATGACGGACTCCAAAAGTTCCCACAGCCGCCCACCTGGTCAAGGGACTGCATTTTGGGGGCTCAGCAAATGGCCTACATCTATAGTCATTGGCAGCATCCTACAGTCACATGACCATGATTTACAATGGGTTGGTTTTTTTTGCTGATAACCGACTTTTACTTCAGATTTCCAGCAAAAAAAACCCTCACCCATTTCAGACAGTGGAATAGCTTGATGACCACTGTGTTTGCTTAACCTAATTTGCCATGGTGATTCACTTAACAACTGCTACACAAGGTGTCATAAAATCATGTCAGTCACGTGACAACCCACAATGACTGGCACGAACTTAGGAGCATAAGTCCAACCTCAATTAAAGCTGTTAAGTGGAGGACATTTTTACCTGTAATAAAACACAATTAGTTTCCAGAAGCATCCAGACAAAAAGCAGTAAAAGTTTCAAAATCCTACCTCACTGAGATAATCAAAGCACCCGGAGACTGGATAAGCTTTGGTGACAAATTTAGCCACGCCTTGCATGTTGATAAAGCCTTTCCAAATGGTATTCAGACGAGAAAGAAACAGGGACGTATCTCCTTCTGGGGGGGACCAACTCTCTGACATACTGCAAAACCGAAAAAAAGAAAAAAAAAGTCCCAAAATGTTTCCCCGTAACAGCTTCTCCATTCCAAACATTTTCAATATTTCTCTCGTAACGCAGCCATATATTTTTAAGCTGATGCTTTTCAACCTTGGCTGGTCTAAAAGAAGTATGAATTTCGACTCCCGGAATTCCCCAGCCAGCCTTGCACTGGGCTGGGGAATTCTGGAAGTCTGCACCTTTTCAAGTTGCCACGGTTAAGAAACGCTGCTTTAAGCTAACTCAATCAATGCATCAGAATTCAGTTGCAAAACAATTACTCAGCACTCAATCTCGCTTTCCACAATTTTGCTGGTTCACATAACATAAATAGACTGCTTTTCTATCAAAGAAAGTGTTTTGATATGACGGGAGATGGACGCCATGATCTTTTGGGCTGGGGCAGCACTTATGATTTGCTTGATCCACAGTCCTTTAATTATTTTGGATGGATGGATGGATGGATGGATGGATGGATGGATGGATGGGATAGATAGATAGATAGATGGATGGATGGATGGATGGATGGCATAGATAGATAGATAGATAGATAGATAGATAGATAGATAGATAGATAGATAGATAGATAGATAGATAGATAGATAGATAGATAGAGATAGACGGACGGGATAGATAGATAGATAGATAGATAGATAGATAGATAGATAGATAGATAGATAGACGGACGGGATAGATAGATAGATAGATAGATAGATAGATAGATAGATAGATAGATAGATAGATAGATAGATAGATAGATAGATAGATAGATAGATAGATAGTCATGCACCAACACTTTGTGTTATAGGCTACAATCGTCCCCTAATTCCAGGATATAGCATACCTGACATTTAAAGATGATGGACCTGCCAAGTATCTTGGGTCCGATGAAGACGGTTTTGTTAAAATGGACTTTGGAGCTGATAAAACAGGCCTTAATATTTCTGGCTTGCTCTCTGCTACAGAACCTTTGTCAAGAATGGAAGTGGGATGCAATGGGGAAATCCCAGCAGAACCAGAAGCTGCAGAGGTGCTCACAGCCGTTCGGGGATCTTTGCCAGAAACAGTGACTGTTGTGATGACCCCAGCAGTGTAGAATGTGGGATAGGCTGAATTCTCCGTGGACAGAGAAGATTCCGAGTTGTTTTGCACTTGGGATAAAGGAATGTAAGTTCTTTCCAAACTTGGCTGGGCCATTGTCTCAGTCGCAGGTCCAGCAATGGCTTTTGGGACGCTCTCCAGATCTTCCTCTTTTACCACCTCCATGTCATCTGCTGGCGTTGAGCTTTCCAGTTTGGACTTAGTCTCTGACTTTGGTTCTGTCTTCTTAGCAGCTGATGCTTTGGGTTTTTTTGAAGTCGATTCTTCATCAGAGGCAGAAATCTGACCTGCATTGTAATCAAAATTAATATGTATCACTGCAAGAGGGTTTGTGGCTATAACACATGGTTTCATGCACAGCGGGCAGAGCATGATCCTTGAAGGGACAAGAAGTTACTCTTAAAGCTTCAATGAATACAGTAACATGACAACCTGATTATGGAACTCCCTCAGAAGTGAAGACAGAATAATTCCGCCCCTAATAACTTTATTTTTTTATTATGCCTGGTTTTTGTAGGTATCATTCAAGACTGAAGACTTTAATTCTCCTTAGTGCTGATGCATTGTTTTTGTATTGTGCATGTTTTCTTAGTTATTTTGTCCTTTTAAGAGCAGGAGGTGGCACAGAAATGTCTGCATAAAGAACTCATTTTGTAGGTTTGCTGTGAAAAAGAGAGATTCACAGAGACGCGAGTCTCTGAAAGCATTATATAAAAATGTTAAAACACAAATAGTTCTAATCAAGTAATCAGCAAACATTAAGGGATAAAACTAAAGGATTTTGCATTCTATATTTCAAGGTAGTTTTGCGGTAGTTTTTTTTTTTTAAAAAAACCACAGTAAAACTGCCACATTACTTCTGCCATGGAGCCCATTTATTTGAGGGATGGCCAGTCTCCTGTGGTTTTTGACTGACTGATAAGAGTCAAAGGATGAGCATGCTCCAGGCCCCTTAATCAAACTGGGTCATCTTTCAGAATCTGAAGGTGTTTCAGGAGGCATTAAAGACCTGGCTGTTCTCTCAAGTCTGGGATAGGGTGGATGGAACTCCCCCCCCCACACACACTATGATATATATTGCATATATACTAATGTTCACTGTTTCAGTTACCATTTTATCATTTCCTTTACAGGCAGACCTCAGCTTACGGTCGCTTAGCAACCTTTCAAAGTTGTGACCTACCTAAACAATGGGACTCAATGGTTGCCCCCCCCCCCTTGAGATCATGTAATCGCACTTGGGGCGCTTGGCAACATGGTCCAACTCTTTTACGATGATTCTGCTGAAA